TAGAAATGAAAGTAATGATAAAAATATTTATGATGAACGAGCAAGATTAATAAAAGATTTTATTACTGATGAATTCAACTTCATTACAAAAATGTCCCATATTGACATTTTCTGGGAGCCACAATTAGTTTCAAATAACCTTGTTTCTAAATCAGATATGGCATATATTTCAGGATGCTATCGTTCTTTAATTTTTGCTCATACTGCTTTTCATCAAGAATTGAAAAATAAAGGTTCTTTTTTCTCATCCGAAATAATTAATTTATTATGTGATGCTCATTTCTTTTTTGATCAAACTTCTAGCTTTTTTTGTAATTTTCCTGCAATTGAAGCCTTTTTTAAATTAAAATCACAATCACCAGTTTTTCAACAGGGAATCTCAATCATTATTTCAAAGCCAGAATGTCCAACCAAAGAGACTCTGCTAGAAATTTTATTAATGCCTATTGCACAACTGGGTACACTTTTTTCATTTTTTATGAAACTTTGCCAGTTGACACCATCATATCATCCAGACTTTATATATATTAATGATTGTAAAGAAACTTTAGCTCAAATTATTTTTCGGTTCAGAAATTTATTGGAAAATCCACCAGAGCAACTTCAAGCGGTTTTTGCTTTACAACAAAAAATTGTTAGTAAAGTAGAAGTTGTTTCTCCTTCAAGACTTTTAATTAAAGAATTCACGGTTAAAATAATACGTCCTAGATCACGTGAAGGAAAATTTTATATTTTTAATGATTTAATTCTCTTGACTTCTTGTGCTAAAAAATTCGAAAAAGTGAAATTTATGGTTGATATAAATGAATATCGCTTCACTTATACAAATTTAACTGTTAATTTTCATAAAAAAGCGAAAAGAAAAATTGCTTTTAATTTCTTAAATCAAGAAGATTTCGATACTGCGATGAGTTTTATTGATAATTCGAAAATGAAAAAATATAATGATTTAGGAATGACTGAAACTTTAATTTACTTCAGAAGCATTAATCAAAATATAGCAATGCCTGAGCTATGTGCACATGAATGTGCTTTAGTTGGTGATTTTCTTTATTTAATTGGTGGACATGATAATCAAAAATATGCCTCTAATGCAACTGTTTGGTCAACATCTAAAAATACAATAAAATCAATTAGATTAATGTCAAATGGAATTCGAAAATTTCATTCAGTTGCAGCAGTTGGACATAATATTTATGTTTTTGGTGGTGCTGATCAAGATTCAAGAATTTTACACAATTTTATCTGTATTGATATTGATAATAATTTTTCTATTTTAAAAATGAAAACTTTACATACTCCATCAGCTAGATATGGACATACACTTGTTACTTCAAAGAAAAAATTGTTTTTATTTGGGGGATTTGATGAAAAAAATAATATTCTAAGTGAACCTTATTTATTTGTTCCACATTCAATGTCATGGCATCCTATAACTGCTAGTAATTGTCCATCACCTCGTGCTTTTCACTCATGTGTTTTTCTTGGCAATCGATTCATCATTTTTGGTGGGCAATCTAACAACAATATATTAAACGATATATATATTTATAGTTTGGTAAAAAATGAATGGAGTTCACCGAAAATTACTGGCGATCCTTTATCACCTAGACATGGGCATCGTGCAGTCGCATATAAAAATTGGATGATTATTATTGGCGGAATGAATGAAGATAATCAAAAATTGCCGCCTTGTGGAATCCAATTTTTTGGAAATACTGCATATGTTCATAATTTTAATCTTGGTGGAAATGATCGTCCAACTTTAGAAAATTTTGCATGCACAATTCAAAATGATGAAATTATAATTTCAGGTGGATTTATTCGGGAATTAAAGTGTGTTTCTTGTTCAATTTTTAAAGCAAAATTACCAAAAATTATTCTGGAGTCACACGATATCAATGAATTAGTTAAAGATAACTCACAACCCAATTTGGGAAAAAGAGCGAATTCTATGTTTATTTCTGACATCAAATTGGATAATGATGAGACTTTAATGAATCCTAATATTGAAGTTGAAGTTAATCAGCCAACTGTGAATCAACTTGGAGGCGATATGGCTTTATTAGGATTAAGTTTCACTGATTTCATCACTGCCCATGGGCAATCCTATGGCGAGCCGAATCCATTTTTGACTAAACCTACTGAGTTGCCAATGATATTTAACACTGCTGGTTCAAAAGATGAATCTCTTAAATTACCAATCATGAACATTCCACAAACTGGAGCAATAAACAACTTTTCTCCATTTTCTGAAGTCAATGATGACGATGACGATGACGATGAATATGATGAAGATAGTGAATCATTTGCAACAATGACTCAACAAATGTCTGATGATGACTTTGGTGATTCTTATAATAGTTTAATTGCACCAGCATCAAACTACTTATTTAAACTTCATGCACCCCAAGAAGAAACTGATTTAATGCCAATTAAAAATTCTAGCATTAATGTGAAAAAGATTCCTCAAAATATTGTAAATCAAATGCCACCACCTTTAAGTTCATCTATTGGATCAACAATAACTGAAAATAATAATCAAGCATCTGATCCAATGCAAGAATTTGCTTCTTCTTCACTTCAACCGCCACCACTTGGATATACATTTAATGCAACTGAGTCTGATTTAAATACACCCATGAGCTTAAAATCGTTTGAAATACCAAATTTAGAAGAGCTTGATTTGGATGTTCCAAACTTTTCTGTTTATAGTGGTGCAAATAACTATGCCAAACCATTTTTGAAGAAAACTTCAGAATTTTCATTTGGAAATGACTCTGAGACCAAAAAAGAGATTAATAATTTACCAAAATCCATACAAGATACAATTGATCCTAATGTTAGTGGAAATGAAATGAAGTTCATGAATATACCACCATTATTGACATCAGGGATTACACTTGAAAAAGTGCCGCCACCTTTATCTTCTAGCATTCACAAACCACAAGGAATAGAAAATCATCATGCATCATTTGGTCAATCTCCCGCAGCCATAAAAGAACTTCATACTGAACATAATATTGTTATTGATGATGGTAATGAAGTTCCAATAAGTAATAGTATGGATGAAATACCTCCTTTAGGTTCCACTATCATGGCGCATCTTAACTCATCAAAAGCAAAAATGCCACTTGAACTGGGATCTTTCAATAATAATGAAAAATTCAAAAAAATTCCATCTTTGCCAAGTGATGTTTTCCTTCAGAATTCCCCGCGTTTGAAATGTTCAGATGGTACACTTTCAAGTATTTCAAATGACCAAGAAATTAAAAACTCTCACTATTTTTTATCATCTTCTACAAACATAACTACTGGACTGACTGCCGATAATAATTCAACTCATCTTAGTAAAATGCCGAGTGATTTTTCTTTGCCTTCATTACACACAGAATTAACAACAGAAGAACATGGTGTTGAACATAATTTTCAGTCTGAAAGTGAAAAAAGTTCAAGTAAACCAGCAAAAATTTCAGCCCCACCAATGCTTAGTTCAAATGACACTATTGAAGAACCAATAATTCATCGAAAAAATCTTTCCTTCAAGGCACTAAATGATTTCAAAGGATTTCCACCACCTTTATATTCAGAAAACAGTGGAAATGATAGTAAAGAACAACTTTCCCCAAATTTAGCGAAAAAAACGAGTTCGTTTGCACTTCCTTCTTATCCAGAAGAAGATGAAATCATTGAACAAAAGAATCCTCCACCCTGTATTCCAAAAATTCCAGAAAAAAATACATCAATTAATCATAAAGTGGTTTCTAAAGCGCCACCTCTTGGACAATATCTTTTCTCTGATGAAGCTAAAAGAAATTCTCTCAGATTTAATAAAAATCGTGGAATTGGCTTTAATAATGAAATTGGAATTCCACCTTTCCCTTCAATGATGAGTTCATCACTTCCTTCAACATCTTTTATGCTTTCAAACACAAATAAAGCTGTGAATGGAGCAACTCTGCAAAATATTGAAAATTTGCCGCCAACAATCAATTCACAATACCATTTTGACATTGAATCAGAAACAAATTTCCCACAAAACTTAAGTAGCATTAGTAATAAAATAGATAGTAATATTAGCACAGAAACAGAATCAAGAAACAACCAAAATCACAATAATAATCTTGTAGGAAACAACATAAACAGCTTTAATTACTACAACGACAGTTTTAATGAACCAAATGCTAGCATAAAACCAATTAATAATGAAACAGAAAAATTAAATAATGGTTTTGGTGTTAATGATTTGAAGTTTTCAACACCGACTCCTACAAAGTCAAATCCAAGTGAGTACTTTGTTCCTGGTAATTGCTATAATGATTATGAGCCGCAAACACCACCATGTTTACAGTCTGTTCCAACAGTGCAATCGAAATTAAAATCAGTTTCAAATTTTGATGGATTTAATATCGAACCAACTATCGTTTCAATTCCACCTCCACCATCTGTAGATGGAATCATTGATGCACCTATATACCCCAATGAATTTCCTTTTCCACCACCTTCTTTAGAAACACTTCCTTATTCAAACTTTCTTCCTGTAAACCATGAAAAATCCACATTTTTACCAATATTGAATCATGAATCAAACCAGCCAGAAAGTTGTTCACATGATTTATTGCCACCCCCTTCAATTCATGTTGAATCTCCAATGACTGCAGCTACACCTCCGAAGTATCAGTCATAATTTATCTTTCCTGTTTTCCAATTTTTCATTTCATTTTGTTTTATTTTATCTGTTACTCTCGGTCAATCAAGAAAGAAATTATAAAACCTTGTTATTATTTATAAACGATAAATTTTTATATGAATATAATATTATTACTTGTTTTATAATAAATTAATTCTTAGATATTCATGTAACTTGCTCACATGTCGAATTACACTGATTTAAATATAAAAAGATTTAAAGAAAGATCGAAGGGCATGTCACTCACGATCTGAAAGTTTTCGCCAAGACAAAAAAAATAAACAATTGAGAAAACGGGGAAAAAAAAAAATGTCCCAGAAGGGAATCGAACCCTTATCTGACCCGTGTGAAGGGTCTGTTCTAACCGTTATACTACTGAGACTAATTGAACACAGCCAAAAAAGTGTGTTTGTCTGATCGTCCTCCAATCTCTTGAATTTTCACCTTTTTTTTTTCTAACGTACAATAAATGGAAGATACATACCTCCGTCGTGTTCTTGGTGACGTCCTTGTTGAAGGGCTCAAAGAAACAGCACTCGAAGATCCCGCAGACCCAATCGATTATCTCGCTAAGTGGCTTCTCCATCACCGCGATGTGGAAGATCAATGGAATCAATTCCGCGAAGACCAGAAAAAGTTGAGCCTCGAAAAGGCAGAATACATGGCCAATCTCGAGGCTGAATACAAACGGCTTGAAGAAGAGAGAAAAGCCCGCGAAGAGGAGGAAAGAAGGCTCGCCGAAGAGAGAAAGAGGCTGGAAGAAGAAATGGCAGCTGCAAAATTGGCCGAGGAAGAGGAAGAAGAGAAAGGGGAAGGAGCGCCGCAAAGTGAAGAAATTGATACATCTGCTGTTTATAGCGAATCTCTCAGCGAAACTTTTTAAATGCTTTGTGAATGATTCCTTTGGTTCAAAACTTCGTCTTTATCTGATTATATTTATTAAACATATCTTTTTCTCCATCGTCTTGAATTTGTAAATCTTTCATTTGATTTTGATTTTTTTTTAATTTTGAATTGCGTAATGTATTGATGTTGATTAAAGAAGGTCAATTTGGAAAGAATAAGATGAATATCAATTTTATTTTTATTAATGCCAAATATAGAAAAAAAGATTTAAACGCTTCACAAAAACATCATTTTTCAGAGAATTTTGATCGAACATAATTGACCTCACATGATTATCAAAACACGTCTTCATCACTATCATCAAAATCGACATTGTTGTCATTATTCGCATTTTGTAACAGTCTTGGATCGAGTGATATGATAGGGATATTTGCCGGCGCTTGTTGGTTTGAGTTTGAGTTTGAGTTTAAGTTTGCGCCATAATGGAAAATTTGGCATGGTTCTTTTTGATTTCCTGTTGGATTTGATATATCTTTCTCATCTAGAGTATGATCATCAAGTTCAATGTGTGCTTCATTTTTCATTGGATGTAGGTCGGCAAAATCTGAGTCGGAATTTTCGTCTTCGTTGTCATCGTGCAGATGGAATGGAGGAGGCATTTGGGCCTGAAAAACGACTTGAATTTCAGAGTCGCCTTTCGGATGTACGATATCAGTTGTCAGGGGTAGATTGAGATGTGTTGATGGCGTGTTCATTCTTGGAAGGTCAAAATCATCACTATCATCATCACTATTTTTATTTAGATTTTGGTTTTGATCATTGTCATCAAAAAGTTCATCTCCGCTTGAGTCTTGATCCAATCCTTTTAATGGCGAAGGTTGAACCTTGAGCTGCATAATTGGTTTTCCTGGAGAATTCATTGATTGAAGATCACTGAAATCATCATCGTCTTCATCATCATCATCCTCGAAGCTTTGTTTTTGTTTTTTATTTTGGTTGACTGGAATGAGCTCGTCCTCGTCAGAAGAGGATTCGCAGAATTGGTCGAGGAGGGAGCTTTTATTTGGCTTTTCGTAGCAGAGAATGCATAAAAGTTGGTTTTGTTTGTCAACAGTGAAAGCAGAAATTCCGATTTTGGTAAAGCCAGAATAAAAAATTTCAGAAACCTCTTTATTTTCGAGAATTTCGGCAACAATTTCGTGAATGTTATTTGAAGTCACTGAAAAGTGATAATAGCGGGAATTTTTGGCATAGTTTTTCTCATAAAGTTCAATAAAGTCTGGAATTGCATCTGGGTTTCTTGCCACAATTTGCTTTGAAACGAATTCGATCGTCTGCTGAATTTGATTATCAACGGCTGCAGTTTTGATATTCAATAAACTCAGGAATTTATCGGGAGAAAACGTTTCATTTTCTGAGTATGTTTGGCCGAAGCTGACAAAACAGATAACTCTTCCATATTTCGATGCGAATAAATAAAGTCCGATTGAATCGATTTTGTCGTCATTTAAAATTGAATTGAAGTCATTTCGATTGAGGTAATCAAAAGTGGCTGAAACTAAGTCGATATTAAATTCGTTCATTTTATTTTGAAAGTCGCAGAAGAATTCTGAATACGTTCCCGGAAGGAAGAAATGCGAACGAGCCTTTTTTATGGCGTCTCTGTCTTTACGTATTTCTGTGTAACTTTCGCGAATATAGTCGAGCAAATCCGATTTGGTAAACTCGTTCAATTTTTGGTGAAATCGAAGTCTGTTTGGATTTTTACAATGTTCTCGGATTTTTTGGAAAAGAGATAGTCGTGGGTCGATATTCGGAGGGTATTTGTTCATAAAAATGCTTTTTCAAAAATATCTCTTTCAATTTTATCTATTTCAGATCAAATGTCGACTAGTGGTGAGCATTCAAAAATTTGATGGATTCAACCTCAATAAATCGTAAAAAGGTGAATATGAATAGATTTTAATGTATTGAAATTTCTGTAATTTACATAGAAACTTTCTATAGATTCAATTTTCGCTTCAAGGAAATTTCACTTTTTCTGTTTTTTAAGATCAACTTTTTAAATATATCATTTTTGTTACAGTCCTTCTCGTTTGTTTTTCTAAGCATTTCGATTGTCTTTCTTTTAAAAAGTGGCTGTTTCGTAACTTTTATTTTTGTCTCTATTCATTTTATTTTCATTTCGTAATAGTTTCTACAAAAAGTGGCCGTTTCGATCTAGTTTATTGAAAAAAGTGACCATTTCGATCTAGTTTATTGAAAAAAGTGACCATTTCGATCTAGTTTATTGAAAAAAGTGGCCGTTTCGATATGCTTTCTAAAAAAAGTGACAATTTCGATTGAGTTTATTTTCGTCTCGATAAGTACCCTCATGAAAACAC